TTTTTCAAAATCATAGCAGTCAAAGCATACTTACCTCATTCATTTTTTCAAAATCATAGCAGTCAAACGCGTTATTACCTGATTCATTGTACAAAATCCTATCCATCAACCGTTCCTAAATTCCTTTTATGCTTCTCTGTTTTTAAATGTCTTGAATAACATTGTGCCTTTATTGATGAACTACATTACATTACAAAAGGCAACTTTATCACGATAGTTTTGTATTTGTTCCTCTTTCTTTTTTCTATATTCTTCATGTTCTTTATATTTAGTTCTTCGTGTTTCCTTCACTTTATTTTTATGTTTGTCATAGTTCTTTCTCTTGTATTCCAAGCATGTCTTACAAGTCTTCAATTGGTAAATCTTTAACACAGTATCTACAAATTTTATCCAATACATATAAATATGATTATCTGCTTAAATGTCTTTCCAAGAATTCCTATAACAACAAAAAAACAAAACAATCCAAGCAAAGAACAATATATATATATATATAAGACAAAACGGCAGACAACAATAAAGATACACCCTGAACTGTTAAAATGTTTCCGTACAATATTTGCTCTGGTGTAGTCTTTGTCAGTTATGTTTTCTTCATATAATTTGCTGCAAACATTTTCTTTCTTTGGTAGTTTTGTTTCATCGAATTTCTCCCATGAGTTCATGTAGTCATAGGGATATACACCCCTATCAGTCAGAAAATTCCAATCAGTTTTAGATTTGATATATGGGTTGGTGCTTGTATATCTGAAACGAGTTTCCATTTTTTAATCTTTTGATTTCCTTCATATTTGTTTAACCTAACTAACTTATCCAATGACGCAGTTAAGAAAGCGAAGCTGTCTTTAAACGGACAGGCACCAAATGAAAAGGTTATGAACTTTTCACTGTTTGTGCTATTACATCTATTCTTTTGTTTTGGTTTAGTTCTATGTTTAGTTCATTTGCTTTTGCTATGATTAAGTGAGCGTCATAATTTTTGGATTATGAAAGAAAATAGGGATGTAAAAATGCCCAAATGAATAATCCAAATTACATTTTACATTCGCTGCACCCCTGTATTTGCCTGTGAAGTGGCAGTGGTCGCGAACCTTTTCATCGTCAGGTTCAAGTTTCTTACCGCAAATGGAGCAATGAGACGATAATTTTTGTTCGTTCATTACTTCATCCATCGGTTTATTAAAATTTTGATTTTTTTCAAATATATCTTTCTAAATTTCAGTCAGTTTTTCTACAAACTGTTTCATGCAGTCCTCACCTCTGTATAAATACGGTTGGCATGCATTCTCAATCCTGCTTACTACATTTAGCATATAACCACATGGTTTATGTTCCTGATATGTGCCTTTTATACCATTTTTAGAGTTAGTCGTTAGACATTCAAAATCACCATAGATTACAAAAGGACAAGGCAATTTAGTATTATGCTTTTCAAATTCTACATAAGTGTCTTTATCAGGCATCTTTGTTTGTTGTCCTTCTGATGCCATACATCACATCCGTTTTCAAGATGTTTCTTATATACCTTTTCTGATTGAACGGGATTTAAACAATGGTGGCAGTAAAACTTTTATTTGTGTTGCTACTGATTTGACAGTTTAATCTACATTTATTTTAACTAACACATAGTGATAATTGTTATCTTCATCATCGAGTTTTAGTATATCAATTTCGTACTTAGCATTTCTATTTTTAGTGCCTCTATGACTCTATGCAATATAATCTTATTATCATTTAAGCAGTCATCGGGTTCAAACACATTTATTGAAACTGATTTATTGTTCTCTTCAAATGTCCCTATTGCCAGTTGGAAAATGTACACCATCCCAGTTCAAAATATCATCTTTCAGTTTATTATAGTGGCACATTTCCTCTGGGTGATGTTTGCTTATTTTGTCATAGACTTTGGATTGAATACAATATTTGAAGCATTTTTGGTCATTATTTTTAATGTTGATACATGCCTTTTTTAGTTTAATCCATTCTGGTAATTCTATGCATCTCCCTGCTCTTTTTGGGTCATATTTGTCATAGTGAATAGGTATCGATACAATCCATTTAAATCTTAGATTAGATGTTGAATCTTCTAAAGTGTGTATTTGTAGTCGGATTTGAATAACACTATCTTCTAATGCTTGTGTCAGTTCAACCTCATTACTAATATTGAAGCGGGTTGATGGTAGGGCATGTACAAGTTCCTGACTTCCTAATTCATTTCCTCCATCATCATATTCAGGTTTTTCAACTAACCCTTCCGTTCTTATGTTAAGTTTCATGCTTCTATTATTTTCTCAATAAAATCTGATAGTCTTTGTTTTTGGTGCGCAATCATTTCTAGTCTCCTTTCTCCTTGAAAGTGTTTATTTTCTAAAACTATTGAATTAGCGTATCTTCTAAATGCTGATTGAATATCTCTGACCCTAAAGTTATTTCTTATGGCGTGTTTGGCTATTGATTGCCTAACCCTTTCTCTATTTACAACATCCGTTGCCTTTTTCATAGCATAACTTCTGTACTCATTAGTTTTCTTTACTGGCAATAATTTCTTTGTCTAAACATTTGATATGGGTTTGTCTTTGTATCTGATTTTCTTATCATCTATTATTATTGACTTTAATTCTTTTCTTCCTTTTTTTGGGTATGTCTGCTTTATTAGTATTCAATAGATAGTCTATAATCTTTTTCATCCTATAATAGTATATATTTTTTTGTTAATTTATCTTTAAGTAGATTTTAAAGGACTCTATTAATGTACTCTTTGAATATATACTTAAAGAATAGTTTTTTTTAAAGTATATTAGTAGGATGGATTTTATGAAGGATTTACCTGTTGATGTGTTGAGTACAAGTGTTTCTTATAAACTTGGAGAACCTGAATATGTGAAAATTAAGCATAGTGAAGCATTGAAGAGAATACAAAACAAATATAACATATCAAGACTTGGTCCGAAAATAGACAGAAAGATAAGACAAAGAAACACAAAGTATATATAGTTGAGTATTGTATTATGAGAGAGGGAGTGCAGGGAGTGCCATTTAGTTTAAAAGGTATAGGAGACATCATAACAGAAGAAAAAGAAGAATCACTATCTTTGATTTATGAAGAAGTAGAAGAAGATAATTTAAATTTTAGAGTTAAACTTGATATTGAAGTCCAAACAGTAGCAAGACTCCCAGAGAAAGAATGGAGACAATGAATTTAGTTATAGAGAAGTTTACTTCATGAATGACTTTGATGAATATGTAGATGAAGATAATATAGGCGATGTATTGAATAAAGCAGATGAAGAAATAAATTCCAACATAGAAGAAGACAAAGATAAAGATAGTATAATAGGAATACAAGCATTTCATGTTAGATTAATAACTATTGAAGATATTTACTACCAGCATATTTCCAATAATGTTTATTTATTTATTATAATTATGGATTTGTAAGATCGGATTATCAAAGGTTAAGGTTTTATCTTTATTGTTGTCTGCCGTTTTGTCTTATATATTGTGTTTTGCTTGGTTTGTTTTTGTTTTTTGTTGTTATAGGAATAGTTGGAAAAGACATTTAAGAAGATAATCATATTTATATGTACTGGATAAATTTTGTAGATACTGTGTTAAAGATTTACCAATTGATAATTTTAAAGATGGGTTGAAGACTTGTCAGACATGCTTGGAATACAAGAGAACGAACTATGACAAACATAAAGATAAAGTAAATGAAGCACGAAGAACTAAATGTAAAGAAGATGTAGAATATAGAAAATAAAGAGGAACAAATACAAAGCTATCGTGATAAAGTTGCCTTTGTAATGTATGTAATTCATCAATGAAGGCACCATGTTATTCAAAACATTTAAAGACAGAGAAGCATAAAAGGAATTTAGGAACAGTTGATGGATAGGATATTGAAAAATTGAATGAGGCAATTGTGTTTTGACTGCTATGATTTTGAAAAATGAATGAGGTAAGTATGCTTTGACTGCTATGATTTTGAAAAATTGAATGAGGTATATGTGTTTTGACTGCTATGATTTTGAAAAATGAATGAGGTAAGTATGAATTGACTGCTATGATTTTGAAAAATTGAATGAGGTATGTGTGTTTTGACTGCTATGATTTTGAAAAATGAATGAGGTAAGTATGCTTTGACTGCTATGATTTTGAAAAATTGAATGAGGTAATTATGTTTTGATATTGTTAAGAAAAATGAAGCAATCAATAATATTTAAACTTATATTTTGGATGGTTATGTTGTTTTGGAATAAATTTTGATTTGTTATACTGCTATGATATTAGTTTAACAAACTTCACTCAATCTTTTTTTTTACATTTTTTCGGGGACCCGTCACGACCCGTCCACGTGGTGGACGAAGCGCGGTCCGTTGGACGCAATCTCGGTGGTTGGGAGGCACGGCGAAGCGCATCACTGTGCTGCCGTGACGTGGGCGGGATGGGAGGAACAAGAGGAACCTCGAGTGGTTTGGTTGACGCATGGAACCTCAGTGGTTGGTGGACGTACCGCTACCCCTTTAAGAATCCAATCACATCCGATCACATCACGACAGAAGATTCTCGTTCTGGGTGAAGCCGACCTTCGAAAAGGGTCGTTCGGGGTGTGAATGGAGCTGACCTGGCTTGGTGTGATGAGGGCCTTGGTGAAGCAGTCTAAGCTTGGTTCGAGCTTCTTAATGAAGTCGAAGTCTTCATGGGGATTCGGAATAGCTAGCTGAATGCTCCTCAAGGCTGCCGTTTTCGGTAGGTCCACGGCTGAAACCCCCACTTTTGAACAGGATATTACGCAACAGGGTAAGGTTAATGTAACGTACGAACTCTCACTCTTCCCCTCACGGAAAAGGACTGGCTCTCCTGCCCTAAGTCGACCTCCAGGGAGCGAAACGCCCTGGACCGGGACCGCCGCTCTGCCTCCCGCGTCGGGTCGCACTGCGTCGATGGCGGTTTCCACGCGTTTTCCACGCGCTGGACGCGAGTCCCAGCGGCGCTCGGTCTGCTGTTCGATGGCTTCGACGGCTTCGCCAGGTGCCAGGTGAATGGCCGCTCGAAGGTCTGGTGCTTCGTCGAAGCCTCGCTGCACGAGCGCGACCGGCTGCTGCAGGCGGACGCGGTGACCGCCGCCGGTGAAGTGCGTGACCGGTGGGGGGTTCCCAACTGGGTGACTCACATCGGGTGAGCCTCTTAGGTGGCAAAGGGCGGGGTGGTGAAAAGAGCATCTTCAGAACCTCAAAAGGGGGGTGAGCTCTTCTTCAGAGCAGGGGTGGTGCATCAAAGCAAGTCCTCTTCAGAAACCTCGAGGGCTTGAAACTGGAGGTTTTTTGATTGGTGAAGGGGATACGTCCGGTTTGGGGGTCTGCGAGGGAGCTCACACAAAGGCGACAGAGACGTCACCCTTCTTGCGCCGCACAGCGGTCCTTCAGATGGGACAAGGGAGGGGCCATGGGCCATGATGGGCCCTGGTTCTGCGATGCTTGTGAGTCTTGGTTTGGGTTCACCTGCTGGAAACCACTGCATGTCCTGTTTTTCAGTTCTTTCATGGTGCCTCCCACCTGTCAGTTAGATAAATGAAATATTCTAATCTATTCTAAGATATTCTCACTTTGTAATGATAATAGTCAACTTGAACAAGTTATATAAATATGCATTTCTTTCAGCGCAAATTCCTTGGGTTTCACTTCCTTCAGTTCCTGGGCGCGCCCAGCCGGCGAGCCGCGCGGCTTACCAGCCCCCGGCGTACGCGAGACGCGCCGGTGATGGGGGTGGACCCGCTCCCATGACGTCGTCGAGCGCTGAGTCTGTTGAACGATGTTGAAAAAATCGGTGCCTGATGTTCATGGACAAGAGACCCAGGGGACCCAGAGCACTGACTTTTATGGTTTGAGCAGGATATGCCATTGACGGCTTGCCTCGTCCCATCAACCCTAGGACTCTAGGCAATTCCTGAGCTTTCCATGCAGACTGCAGCTTAGTACCTACTTGTGCATTGACTAGCTGTTTGGGGTCTCCATTTTGACGACCCTAGGATACAGACTGGGCTTCCACCATTGGACACCAGTCCAATTCACAAGTCCGGTACCCGTCAGCCACAACACCAAATGGGTGTGCATCAAAATAGACTCCCAGTTCGACCCCCTGGAAGGAGCAACATGGACTAAGACTAAAACCCATTGGTTGGGGATCTCCATTACAGTCATGACTCCCAACCTTTCGGAAGGTCGAGTCATTATGACAGGCAATTTCACCTACGGGTCCTATGGGTAGACCTGCATGCGAGGTGACCTGCATCAATACAGCGACATTTACTTGAATTACCTGACAGACTCTTGGCTGCAGTGGGGTCAAACTAATGCCAAATGTCGGATTAATAGCTCCCCAACTTCAAGGTCAACAAGGTTTGAGATTGGAGGTATTGGAGACCACATCCCCTTGATAAAGGTGATGTCCTGATGATGGATGATGGTTGATAGGATTCTGTATGAACACTGAGGCCTGTGTGAGGGGTACCCTTCATGAGCTTTAAACTTTAAACCGTTAAGATTTTGATAGAGTTTTAATAAGGGAAAGTGAAAGAATCTTGCTAGAGACGGATTTAGGGATTGTGGAACAACGATTCTTGGGGAGAACATTGATTGGTAGGGGGAGGTTTCTGCCAAGAAAACAATTATTAGGGTGATGGACATATGGCAATCCTGGCTTTAAAATTGTTTAGTATTGGTGGCTCAAGCTGGGCTTGATTAATAGGGGAGGTGACTTAATCCTAGGTGCGCATTAGGGGAAAGACATGGAAAGACCACAAGCTGCGGAGTTTTGTTTGCACGCAATCACGGCATTCCAAACTCTGTGTTGACATGGGGGGTTGTCTTGGAACATGTTCACCTTCATATGCATATCATTGCCATGTTCGCCTAGAATGACAACTCTTCTGAATGGACACATTGGGTTAGCAAGTACACGGAGAATGGATCAAGCAGGTCGACAACGAGTCTGGGTGGTTTGCTAGTCGCCCCCAAAAAGCACGAGAGTTACCTTCTGGGTTGTGATCAGGCGCTTGGAACGCCTCCAACATCCCCCCCAGCACGCAAAATGGTGCCAATGCTACAATCGGTCAAAAGCTAAGAACGTCACAGGGAGTCATAATTTTGATTCATCAAAGGCATTCAAAGGCATCATATTTATATGAAGAGGTTCTGCCATCAAAATGGGGGTGTTCGCAAGCATGGATTTGGATAACATTTGACCTCTAGCAAGGGGGGGGGGCCTCAGCAGCCCCCGGTTGCAGGTTGCATCGAGGACATCGAATGGCGAAGGTGGCGAGGCATGGGGGCGAACGAGGGTATGACAATGGATTGAGGTTGGTGGGAGGCAGAGGCCATGTGAGGTGTGGATGAGAACCAGGAGATGCCTTACCAGGTAGGGAGTCCATTCTGATTCTCATCTTGGTTGGGTTCAAGCATGCTTTTTTTTGGGGGGTGCCATTCTCTTTTTTTGGGAATGGTACATCACATCGTCGAAACAACTTCTTGTTTTATTTCAACACCTAATTATTTCTTGTGGGTTTTGATACTTCTGGCGTGGGTTTTGTGGCAGTCTTTTTTGGAGACCCAGCCATCAGGCGGTGGGCGTTGCTGACCCTGGTGGTGGCGCTCGCAGAGGCAGCACCGCGACTCCTGCTGCGACGAGAGGAGCGAGATGGGGGAAACGATGGGGGTCAGGAACAGGAAGACTCAGGAAGATGTATTCCAGAGACGAGTGGGACGAGGAAGGGTGTGAGTTGGTGATTTGGGTTTCTTCGTTTTTCCCCAATAGCCATGCTATGGGGTCTTGCAAAACTAATAGGCGGACGGGCGCCGTCGGGTCACCGTCAGAGCTGGTGGGCGGATGGTGTCCCGGTCATGTTTTGATGGCGTCCGGGTCATGTGATGCTGGTGTCCCGGTCATGTTTTGATGGTGTCCCGATCATGTTTTGATTGTGACCCAGTCATGTTGTGATGGTGTCCCGGTCCTGTTTTGATGGTGTCCCGGTCATGTTTTGATGGTGTCCCGGTCATGTTGTGATGGTGTCCCGGTCATGTTTTGAAGGTGTCCCGTGATGGTGTCCCGGTCATGTTGTGATGGTGTCCCGGGCATGTTTTAATGGTGTCCCGGTCGTGTTGTGACGGTGTCCCGGTCATGTTTTGATGGTGTCCCGGTCGTGTTGTGACGGTGTCCCGGTCATGTTTTGATGGTGTCCCGGTCATGTTGTGTGAAATGAAGCATGATGATCAGGAATGTTCCAGCTAGCTTGCAGTTGGCCTCTCAACCCAACCACCAGGTTCCGGTTCGCAAGGGCACGACACGACGCCCTTGGCTCAAGCCATGACGGAAAAGGCGTTCGCAGCCTTTTGCACGTTTGTTTTGAGTTGGGTGCACATCCATTTTCAGATTGGCACCGGAGCTGTGTTCTCCTTAGGGACCTTTCACATCGACAGATCTTTGGTTTGTTTGATTTGGGGGTACTCTCACGCTTTTGCGCCGGAGCTCATGTCGGCGCTTGAGTGCCTTAAGTGGCACCGGTTTTCCGAGGCATCGGAAGCCACCCTGGTCGCTGGCACCGAGGGCAAAGGTGTTCCACGCTATGATGGGAGCCCTTCGACCCTCCAAGAGTATGCCTTCCGGGTGCGACTACGAGCTGCACGGGATCAGGCCATGGATCCCAATGAACTGAAGAAGCACGGACCCTTGGGGCTACGCCTGATCGATGGGCTCACTGGAGCTGCATTGCAGGTTGTGCGGGAGGTCGAAGTCTCCAAGTTGGCTGAAAAGGATGGTCATGAGCTGTTGCTTCGCCACCTATATCAGGCCTTCAGACCCCGCCGACAACAGGAAGCACGAGAGCTCTATGCAGCTGGAACTCAAACCCATGGAGTCCTTAGCCGACAGAGCGGTGAACCGATGACCTCGTTCCTCTTGCGTCGACGAACCTGGTACAAGATGCTCTGCGATTTAGATGACAAGTTGGCCCTGCCGGAAGCGATCTTGTCGGAACAGGTTTTGATGTCAAGTGGCATTTCAAGTGACCACCAGCTCCTGATCCGCACGGCATTGGCCGGGAAGATGACGGTGAACGATGTCTGCAATGAACTCATTGCTCAACATCCTAACATCCATGAAAAGGAGCTTCGACATCGACAAGATCGACATGATCACAGGTTCAGCCGCAGCGGAAAAGGAAAGTCCAAATCCTTTCACACCTGGTCACCACCGAGCTATCAGGATGTGGCTGCATTGGCTGAAGACCAATGGGAAGATGCTTCGCAGTCCCTTGGAGGCTATGAGGACTATGATGACCCTGCCTCCTACTACACAGGAGCGTCCGAAGAAGTTGATCCCGGCTATGAGCCACCATCCAATGAGGTGGACTATGCAATGGAGTCCTATGCCGCTTTGGTTGAAGAAGGCTTGGACGTGAACAACAGTGAAGCCGTGGACTACGCCTGTGAGGTGATTCAGCTTGAGGCCGAAGCCATGTTCTTGCACAACAAGGCCCAGAGTCAAGGCCACAGTGGATTTGGTGGAAAGAGCGCTGCCAACTACTGGTACCAGAACAAGGGGAAAGGAAAAGGTTCATCTGGCACCCCTGACCGACGACGCGCTCTTGAAGATCTCAAGAAGAGAACCACCTGCCGTCGCTGTGGACAATCTGGCCACTGGAGCACGGACTACTCATGCCCGAAGCATCCAGGCAGCAAGAAAGGTGGCAAGTCTTCATCATCGGCTATGACTGGAACGTGGCAAGAAAGGCAAGGGCAACAAACCTCGAGTGGTCTACTTTTCCGTGACTGAGTATGACGAGGACCAAGAGGAGCCCTATGACCTTGAAGCGCAGACCTATATGGCGGTCACGAACTATGGCAGTGTTCCTCCGCCTTCGAGCTTGGCTGATGGCACCATCGTGACAACTCCAAATGAGATGTCTGCTGATCAGATGCTTGACATGGCCCTTCAACAAGCACGCATGATGCAGCAGCAGCAGACCCTGGCAATTCAGCAAGAGGCACATCAGCACCCTGTGCCGGATGATGCTGATTGGGAGGCACATGAACTCGCCCTTCAGGACCATGG